AAAGCAACCAAAATCTGATTATTTTACGTATTCAGTTTCGGAGATCATATTTCGCCCTTTGAAAATCGAATTTCAAAACTTGGATCTTGCCATATTTTTTCATTCCGGCAGAAAATAGAAATTAGATCCAAATAAAAAATGAAATCAAGCTATCTTTTCGATGCCATTTACATTTGTGTCTAAAAATAGCGTATTTTTAGCCTTTTTGAAAAGTAAATTGCAGAATGAGCTAAGAAAAAGCGAAATTTGAGCTAGCAAATTTAAAAAAAACATAAGAAATTCATTAGAAGTTTTTCAGAATAAAGACTACGAACTTGAAAGTGAAACTGTACTTTTTCATTCACACTCAAATAATCAACGTAAATTTGTACATTTTTGAAAACCATCCTGAATTTTTAAAATTTCTGATTAATTCCTTTAAAAGTTTTTGATGTTTCAATCATTTGTGCTACCAGATTCCAAAAATTTTGAAACAAAATATACTGAAAAATCATAACCCATGATTAATTTGCAGCTTTTTGCAAAAACCAAGCAACAAAACGAATCTCGTGCAGCTGTGGAAGCAAGAAACTGCTTTGAATTTATTTTAGTTAACCTTGTTTGAATCAACTTCAAAATGGTATAATTGAAAATACTAGATCCACTTTTTTTTGAATCCAATTGCTTTAATAACAAAGCTGAGATGAAAAACATAAACCTTAGTTTTCTGTACTGTTTTGGCAGTAACAAAAATCAAAGACCAAAAATGCATATCAAACAACTTCATTTATTGGCCATATGACAGAACTTTTTTTATATTGACCAAATGACACAAGCATTTTTCATTATTTTAAAAAATCAACCACCATTTAAAGACTAATTTTGAAGGATAAACCTAAACTTTTTTTTTCACTAATGCTACCATAAAGTTTTTTTAAAGCGAATGCTATTTTCGAACCCTGTGAGGTAAAATATTCTAGGCCATTCGAGATTTTGAATCGTAAACATTTTTCGTTTATTATTACGAATTTCGAAGAAAGCGGCGCATTATTTGTGCTCAGGTTATTTCTATTCTTCAGAAAACTTTGGTGATTCAACCAGCAGTTTTTCACATTTTTTCGTATACAGCCTGGGAATTTCTTATTTAATTGGGGTTGAAAAATGACTAAATATTTCGCCGCTAATATACCAATTTTTTCTGAAGGGCGCAGCAAGGAATTAATTTGGCTCACAAATCATTCCAAACTGAATGAGGCAAATCGATTGATTCAAATTATGCGTAAATAGCTGATAATTTTACTACTTTGTATTCGACATTGCGTGTGGTGTATGCATATTCCATAAAAGTAAAGTTTTTTTCAATTTTTGTCATTTTTAAACCAAAAACTATGTCAGATGAGCAAAAAGAGAATTAAAATGGCCATGGTTTCGCCTTGGTACGAGCATTTTTGTTGGATTTCTATGACAAGCATTTTTTATTCTGGGATTTTCTTTGATTCAGTTCTTCTGCGATATTTTTTGATTCTGGGATTTTCTTTGATTCAATTCTGAGATTTTCATTCTGAGAATATTCTGAGATATTTGATTCAGTTGCAGGTTTATTTTGTCCTTTTTAACTCAAATAAAAACAATTAACACAGGTAAAACTCCAAAAACAATTGCTTTTCAAATTATGAACCACCGAATTGCAGACATTGTGTATCTTAGCAATTCAAGCACAAACAATGACATAAAATAGTTTTGTCAAAACAATGTGTGATTTCCATAAGTTTTTAAAAGCCTGATTGCGCTATTCCGTGCCAAAAAGACCAATGCTCAACATTGCCGCACCTGAAAATAAGCGTTGGCCGAACTTGTGGAAATTAAACCCGCAATTTTTTGGAATCTAATTCTTTTATTTGAGCCAAACATATTTTGATGAGTCAATTTTGTATGAGAGGCTATAGGCAAGTGATTATTTAGAAAAAGCGGTGGTTTCAGATAAGAATTAGTCGAAAGATTTTTTGGTTGTTATCGTTTAGTTTTATTATTAATAGTAGTTTTTGTGATTTCAACAAGTGATGCAAAAGCTTCAAAAAAACTTCAAAACAAACGTAAGAGCTGTTTTTTAAACCATTAAGGAACGAACGAAATGCCACATTGGAATAGAATTAAGAGCAAAAACAAGGAAAATACAAGAAAATCCAAAAAAAAATTTTTCCTTTTTTGGTTGCGAGACAATGAAAGTTTGATGTAAATATGGTTATATGACTGCAGGGCAGATCTAGGCAGATCTTTATAGGTCGGCCACATTGACGACATATTGGTCGACTCAGTAAATTTAAGAGTGAGCTGTGTGTGTGTGCGTGTGTGTATGTAAGTGTGTGTGTGTATGTGTGTGTAAGTGAGTGTTTGTGTGTGTGTGCGCGTACGTGTGTGTGTGTGTGTGTGATAGAGAAGGGGGGTTTGTGTGCAAAAGGGGATACTGACTGGCTGGGTTTCCGTCCTTGACGTCACACATGATGCGCACTTCGCTGTTGATCCTCACACGCTTCTCCGCCTGAAGAAGACTCTGAGTCACTATTGTGGGCTTATCTACAACAGAACAGAGCAAAATATCACCAATACATATGTGCCACAAATTATAGTCATTTCAGCCATAAACTTATCAGGCTAAAATTTGGCTTTTTTCGGGCAATGAAAATTCATTTGTGCCCACAAATTGGACCAACATTTTTATATGAAAACGCAGAATACTAAATTGGGCGAGCCAAACGGGTTAATATGAAAGTCACAACCTCTAGAATAGCCTCAAATGTTACTTTTTTTTCTAGTTTTAGTCCTTTTTTCCTCAAAAATTCTGTGCAAATAAGAGTCAAAGGTCAGCTATTTCGAAATTTGATGCAAATTATTTCCACCTAGAAGGAAGTGATATAAGTTATAACTGAAAGACCCGAGCATTATTACGGCGGGGAAGTTGTTTTTACGAATTGAAAAAATGAAAAATTTGCGAATTTTATCCAAAATAAATACAATTTACACTTTCACCGCGTAACAACTCTTTAAGATCGACAGCATGCTTAGGTTTTTTATTTGAAGTTAGCAACATTGATTGAGAAATTTATTTATCATAATTATACATTTATTTTATAAAGATAGTGAGCTTCCTGTAAAATCTAAATTTCTACATTTTTTCAAACATATAGGCCACTGAAGCATTATACAGAACTAAATATTTTGTTATCCGGGGTCAAATTACTAAAAAGTAGATATCAGAAATAAATGTGATTGAAAGGTTGAAAGTTCTTATTGAACATAATTATATACCACAGTTTTAGATTTAAGTTATGGACCAGGGGCAGATCTAGGATTTTCTCGAGGGGAGGCGGATTTTCAAAAAAAAAATCGAAATTTTGACGACCTTTTTTTTAGGTCGACCAAATTGATTTTTCGAGCTCTCCCAAAGCACTGTTTTGCCCCTATTTTGACAAAATTTTGTGCGCCGCAGGCAAATTTTTGCAAAAACAGTCAAAAAAGCCGTTTTTGGGCACTTTTTGAAAAATTTTGACAAAAAAATCGCGTTTTTTCGGCGCGCGCTCCCCCTCAAAGTTAGTATATATTGGCGCCAAAGGCGCCTTTAGAAAAATTTAGGGTCGGTCGGCCAAAAATGGATTTCTGAAAAAGTATCAAAGGGGGGACCCTTTGGGTCGGCAGGGGGTCGAATCCCTGAGGGGGGCGTCCGCCCCTGTTATGGACCACAGCTATGGAACAATCTTAAGGACCTCATTAACAGACAATCATTATGAACCCAAATTATTGATTACAATTATGGGCCATTCATATGTAGCATAATTATGCGCCATTCTAAATAGACCACAAATAAGGGCCATTAATATTGACCATTATTATGGAATAGAGTTATGATTCATTCCTATGGATTAAAATTATGAACCACATTTTTGAACTTAGTGAGCCATACTTACAGAAAGAGAGCTCAAATGCAATGGGCGGAACTGTCCATAGAGGGACTGATTGTCCAGCAACGGACATAATAGCCAAACGAACCCAGAGCTATGAAATAAAAATAACAACAACTCCAAAAAATGAACAAATCTATAAACAAAACACCGGCTTTACTATTAAACCTTAAAAACCAATTGATTAAGTTATTCAACACTTTGATAACATGAGCATAATACAAAGAGAGATAACATTGGTTATCACAAGTTAATATTGAAGGATTAACTAATTTCAGAGTAAAAAAGGTGCTGAAATAACTGAGAGAAGTTTTCAGGGGTGAAAGGTGACAGGTCAAATTTGGGCTCTTCTGATGACCGCATTTCATCACGTATATCATAGCTTGCAAAATACCTGCAGCGAAAATAAAAACACAGGTCAACTTAAAAATGACCGATTATCAGTTTTTGTTTTTCAGAACCCAATTCGAATAATGAATGAGATAGTAATTTATAAACCGAGAAATCATAAATTTAAGGGTGCAGCTGTAATGTAAACTCCCCTGAGAGGAAGAATCGAAGTGTAGATAACTGTAAAAAGTCGAGGTCAATTAAATCGTGATTAAATTAAATACGTCGCCTTTTTTACCTTCTCTCTGTCTGGCGGCGTATTCACATTTCCTCCAATAGACAAAAAATAGAGAATTGCTAAAGATTCGGTCGGCGAAACAGGAAATTTGTATTTTTTTGAGGATTCGGCGAAAAATTTTATTGCAGACTTGTAATTACAAAAAAAAACTGAACTTTTTTAGCTATTTTTACTCACAGTGGTCTGGGCGCAAAAAAAAGCTATAGTAGTTAACGGGTCGGAGGCTTTAAGATTCAATGAAAACGTTAAAATGATTAGCAAAAACAGCTCCCTAGGGTATGTGAAAGAGAAAAGAAGCCGGGCTGAAAACGGTCTAAAATTGGCATTTGCCAGCGTGACCTATCTTCTTAGCTTAAAAAGATCTTATGGAAGCAAAATGAAATCCCAGGAGCCCAGGCAACTTTAGACAGAATTTGTTCAAGGAAGTGGTATAAAACCCTTTGAAGGTTTTCAAGTATAATAATAATAATAATAATTGAACGGTGACCATTTCTGATAGCATCTTGTGCCGGCTTACTTTTTGGGGCAAGCCAACTTTCTCATCATAATACAGTTTTAAATTTCAGCAGTGGCGAGCCGAGGATGTGTGTGTAGGGGGGGGGGGGGGGTTCCTGACATTTTTTGGAAAACTAATTATTGCAGTGTGAGCATTTTCATACATTTTTCTACCATTCAATATTTCGATCCTACTATAGATTGATATAAATTAGGAAATTGATCAATGCTAAATTTCTGCAAGTTCTTGAGCACATATATTTCTCTCTCTCTCTCTCTCTCTCTCTCTCTCTCTCGAAATATAAAAATATTAGTTTCTATGATTTTTGCGGTAAAATTTCTTAATTATAAACTTACTCAGCCCTGATTGCAATCAAGGAATCTTTCTATTTTTCTAAGGAAGTATAATTATTTTTCAAGTTATAATATTGCAAAACAATTTTTCAAATGTCTGTAACATACAAACAACCTTTAAAAAGTCATTATCAGCGAGATAATTTTAGATATCATTTTATTTTATTTTTATTAACCGGTTTTATGAAGAGCATAAGAAGCAATTTTTTGGTTGCAATAAAGATTCAAATAACCAAATCTCTGCTTAGCTAAATGGAAGGCAAGATATAACAAGAAGGAAATGATTGATTGTAGGTAAAAACGTCCTCCTTCTAATACTAATACTTCCTTTCAAAGTCCGCGCCGCCTATGGTCTGCAAAGTCTACATGGGGTAAAAAAAAGTAGACCACACATGATACTTTCTGGTACTGCTCTACAGAGATAGTTTTTATACCTCGCTGAAATTTCTCTTTACAGACAAAGAAAAATATAGGTTTTATTCTTGGTCAGAAATATACCTTAACCTTGGTCGCTGACTTTTTTATTCCGATTAGCTTTCTAAAATCTTTAAGCTCTTCGAGATTTAATTCAACTGAATGAGGGTTTAAAAGAAAATAATTTTGGCAACTTTTGAAGGAACGTATAAAAAATTAACTGGATTATTGGTTTTGAAAAAAAAAATCATCACGTCTGTCAACATAAGAGATTAGAACGTTTATGATAATGAAAACAAAAGGTTATTTTTTTTCCAATTTTTATGTCAAATTTTTTTTTGAATTCTTGCTATTCTTTGTAGAGCTTTTTGATTACATATGATACTGTATAAAAGAGTAGCTGAACTAAAATTTGTCGCTAAAAACATAAAAGTGATGTCATTTTAAAAGTAAACTCGACTCCGTTTTCAAAACCCGTTTACGTTTTGTAGAACAGTGCCCAGAGCAGTGCTAGGAATGTATGAAAATAGCACAGTTGAAATAATCAAATTGTTAAGCCTGTAGTTTAAGCAAAAACTAAAATGGCGGAAATAAATCATAAAAATGTTTGAGATTTATAAAAAATTTTGAAGCTGGTATGATTTTTTAAAATAAAAGATACATAACCAGCGAGCATGACCAAAAATGCTGCTGATCACAATGAAACCGAGAAAAATGTCTATTTTCTGATTTTTGAGAGTTTTCAAAGACAAGCACTCTTATTATAAAATGGAAGCAACAGGGTTAGCTCACAGGGCACAAAGTACGTTCAATTTTACAAAGAGAAACATCGTGATTACCTAAAAGGAAATGAAATAAGCTTCCAATTTTATGCTTCATTTTTTTCTTCATTTATTTCAAACCCCCAAGCTATGTAAAGTTGAAAGATACTGAAAGTGCGGAATGATACTGCTCGGGGACATTTTTTTTCCCAGGCTACGTTTTAACTATGCGTTTTTTTTTGCGTTTTTGACAAAAAAAAGTAGAAAATAGACAAAAAAATGAAAAAAAACTGTTGATTTTATTAGAAAAATATTGTTACCTGGCGCTCAAAAATTTTGGCAATTTGGTATAAATAACACGCGTGAGCGTCGGATTAAATCGTTCCAAATTAGAATAAGGCAAATCAATTTGTCTCATTACTAGGATACGAGACGATTTTTTTACAATAAGCTTGTTGAGCCATAAATGATGAAAAAAAGGTTTCTTTTTGATTGTTTTTTTTTTCAATTTCTTAACCATTTATTTCTGAATTAGCTCCAAAAAGCAGTCAAATTAACTGCACACTCTCCCTCTTAAAGGTCTTATAGTAGAATTTCCCTCCACCCACGTATTAATTTTGATAAAAGATTTAACTTAAGAGACTCATTTCAAACCAGTGCGCCGATTATTTTGCTGTAGAAGATTATTGGGAATAACTATTCTATCTTTTCTTAAGCTAACAATTTTTTCAATTCATTTTGATTTATTTGGTATTATTTAGATGATTTTTTTGCCTCCAAAGTAAATATCTGAATAACTGCTCTTTTTTGACGATATTGAAAGGGGGATTTTACAGTTGGTCCGTGCAGTCGGAACATTCAGGGCTTTGCAGTCTTGTTTGCGTCTAGTAACGTATGAATGAGACCAAAAGGCTCGCTCCATTTCAGTTTTGGTTGACTTCTTGGAACAGAACATATCGCGCGTTA